AGCCAATCGGCATCGGTCCCTTGCGCGGCTGGCCAATCAGCGCAGCGGGGGGCCGCGTGATCAGAGCCTGGGTGCGGCGTGATCGGGCTGGGCGGGACCCGGCACGTGTTTTGGTCGGGGCGGGGGCGGGGCGCGGCGCCGGGAAAGTAGGGGAAAGGTCCCGGCGGCGCGGCGGCGGCGGCGGGGAAGTCCAGGCCACGGCCGGTCTGGCGGCCTGTGCAGCGGAGCTAAGCCCTGCGTTCGACCTCGGTCTTAATGTTAGCTTTTCCACGCACAGCTTTTGAGTGCGTGCTCGGCCGGGAAAAGGGTTGAGCCTCTGTGGCTACAGTGATAGCCCTGCGGGCGCGCCTTCTCTCAGTCTCACTTGAGGCCTTCTGTCCAGGCTTTGCGGGGCTTTGTCACGGTGTATCTGAAACTCGCCCCCTCTTACCTCTCTTGAGCAACCCCACGGGGAGGTCGTAAGGCTCTCTACCTGTCGGGTGAGGTGATGGTTTACTCTGGGTGTCTGTGTGCCAAAGTCCCTCACCGAGCAGCGGAACCCTGTCCGCCCAGAGCCCATTGTGCAGGGATCTGATGGAGGCCGAGCATGAGCAGGAGCACGTTATGGAGTCTTGGGGCAGATGGCAGAACATCTGAGCTGCTGCTGACCCTCATCCGGGTCAGGACGCAAGGGTGGGGTGCAGGACTCTTGCCAGCCCGTCCGTCACTAGGCCTTGCCCAGTTGGTCTTGAGTTGGCCAAATAGACAATTTGTTGAAAGAGATAGTAGAGGAGTCAGGTGTGGCGGGGCAGACCTGTAATCTCAGTATTCTAAGAGGCTGAGGCGAGAGAGTTCCAAGTTAGAGCCCAGTGTGGCAACCTGAGTGTGAGCCCTTTTCAAGCTGAGAGATCAGAAGGAGGCGCCTCCGACTAGTGCAGAGAATGTTCTGCATTAAGACGTAGCCGCCTGGGAGCTGGTGAGATGGCTCAGTGGTTTAAAGCACCTACTTAGAACAAGCTTAGCAAATCACAGAGTCTGCGGTTCAATCCCCCAGCACCACATACCAGCCAGCCCCGCCCCCTGGTGGGCTGAGCTGGCCACACACATAAATACATCAATAAAATAAAGATTTTTTTAAAAGAAATTAAAAAAAAAAAAAAAAGACTTAGCCGCCTGGTGACTTTAACCAGCTCCCTGTGTCCCAACCATTCTAACAGCCTGTTCCCCTAGCGCCTGGTGTCCTGAGCCTTTCCTATGGCTGCCTACCTTCCTGCTGGGCGCCTCCGGTGACCTCCTCTTCCATCTGGCTAAAGGCGGGAGGCTCTCGTCCTTTGAATGTTGCCCAGATTCCCTGTGTGGGAAACTTTGCCCACAAGGTGTTCAGTTAGTGACCTTTGGAGGTGCTGTAGCTGCGATCCACAGCTTGCCTTCCCCCCCCCCCCAAAAAAAAATAAAAGCCAGAGAGGCAGCTGAGAATGAGTTAAACTGGTGAAACGGAACAAAAATGCCTTTTCCTCTTATTTTTCTCTAGGAATGGGGATGAAAAGCTATCTTGGGTTAGGGGAGGAATAATGAGGATTAAGTGCAATCGCCAGGGGCAGCTTTCAGAAAAGCATCTGTGGTTTTACACGAAGATGACAAAGCTGGGCGTGGTGACACACCCCCCTGCCCCATCAACCCAGCCCCTGCAAGACTGAAGCAGGAGGACTGCCAGTTCCAGTCCAGCCTGGGGAATTTGATGACTTAAAACCTTTCTCAAAATTTAAAAATAAAGAGGGCTGAGGGCTAGGTATGCTGCTTTGTGCAGAGGCCCTGGCTTTAGTCCGCAGCACACACATAAAAGAGATGGAGAGAACAGAACTAGCAAACTTGTACTAGGTGCAGCCCGAGCTGGGGCCTTGATGTGAACAGATGCGGGGCAGATCTCTCAGGCTTCTCAGCTAACCCAGCCCAAGCAGTTTGTTCTAACAAGACAGGCAAGAACGCAGCAGTCCTGCACTGCAGGGCTAGTTGGGTGAAACCTGGGACCAGGAAGCCCTCCAGCTCAGCAGCTTTCTGCTACAGGAACAGGAGCTACTGACTTCTGGGCTCATCCTGGGGCTGGCAGCGGCTGCAGGCAGGATGCAGGGTCACATGTCTTCTTCTCCCGGTCACCTAGTGCCTTGTCTCCCGGTCACAGGCCCAGGAAGGCGGTGCATGCCCCACTGTGCTGCAGCATGTGACCAGAGCCCAGCCATGGGACCAACAAGGGACAGCGGTTCAGTCAGGCTGAGGCAGGGGAGACACCTGTTCTTGCTGTTAGTTTCTTTTCTCTTCTTTCTTTCATTCCTGAGTATCGAACCCTGTTTTCTTCCCACTGAGCTACATCCCCAGGCCTTTTTTTATTTTTTTGAGGCACCATTTTGCTAAATTAGTAAGTGAATCAGGCTGGGCTCAAATTTTCCTTTTTATTTTTTATTTATTTATTTTTTTTCTTTTTAATTTATGTATTTGGTACAGGGTAACAGTGATCCTTCTGTTTTCATGGGCTCAAATTTTCCGTCCTCTTGCCACAGCCCCCCAGAGTATTGGGATTGATTAGTGCCCGTGCTTTATTTTTTATTTTGAGACAAAGTCTGGGCTAAATTGCCAAGAATCCTACGTAGAGCTTCTCCTGCCTTGGCTGAGATTATACTTACGTGCCACCATGCCTGGCTTCTACTTTTTTCTTTCTTTTTTTTTTTTTTTTTTATCACCCCTTTTTTTTTTTTTTTTTTTTTTTTTTTTTTTCTTTCTTTTTGTAGTATGTCCCCAGCCCTCCCTGGCTTCTTAACAGAAGGCACTGAAAAGAGATCAGGGAGAAGCCAGGACCCTCCCAAGCCAGTGGTCCCTGACCCTGAGCCTGGAAGGGATGCTACCCTGGTGCCTGACACGCCACCGGGGCTTCAGCCTGAACCAGTCTCTGGGGGTCTGCAATTTGTATGTCTAACACATTTCGAGAGCCCTTGACACCATGGTTACCCAGAATCACAATGTAAGGACTTCCTGATTTATAGAAGAAGAAATAGCTGTGGTGGTGGTGCATACCTATGATTCCCAGCATTTGGAAGGCTGCGGCAGGAGGATAAGTTTGTGGCCAGCCTGAGCTACCTAGCGAGACTCTATCTTGAAATAAAAAAGGCATGGGAGGCCAAGCTGGCCTTGGGCACAGCGCAGACCACTGCAGACTTTGCAGGACCAAGTGCCCATGATTTCTGTCCTGCTTACGCGGTCAGCTGCCTACAGCTGGGCACACTGCCAGGGCGGCTTCCCCAGTGACCTGGTGCAGTGCTGGCTTGGGCCCAGGCAGGCAGCAGGCCCAGCACAGCAGGAGGGCCAGGTGTCCAGAGCAGGCGAGGGAGAAGCTCCGCACACGTGGCTCTGTCTGGATTTCTGCAGGCGGGAGCTTACAGATGCTGTCCACTGCAAGTCCCATCCCCCTGCAGGTCTGTTTTGGCTGCCTGGGGCAACAGGCCGGGGGAAGGGAACCTTGGGCTGACCTCATGGCTGGGTCCTGCAGTCCCGCTAAGCACTCACAGGAAGTGCCCAGCCTGGATCTGCACTTCCGTCAGTGACAGTAGCCGCCCCTCAGCCTGGGTCTTCACGGACCTCCAGACTACAGTCAGTGCCCTCCCGGGTATCTCTGTGTCCCTGGAGTCATCCTGTTGTCCCAAAAATCAACATTTCTGGTACCCTGTAACTGAGTCTAGGACCTCCAACTCCAAATCCATAGAGATTTCTTTTTAAAAGTCTTTTTGCAGGGCTGGGGTGGAACTTGGGACCTCTGCATTGAGCTGTATTCCAACCCCACCTCTTTTTATTTAATGTTAAGTGGTAGGCTTTTTCGGCAGCACAGTAAAGAGATAGGAAGGATAAAAGAGCCTTTATTAGCTCCAAAGACATCCTCCGGCCTGAGACAAAGAAAGCTGAGGCTTTTATGGACTTGTGCTAGGGATAGAGTTTGAGGAGGATGTTTAGAAATAGCTGAGGGTCTTTCCTGTGGCAGCAGGAAAGGTGAAAGGATTTTGTACCCTGAGCTGAGCTGGTGAGGAAGGGGGGAGGGGGTCCTTGGGAAGATAAGTTGTTGTTTTAAGGGCTTCAGTCAAATTAGGTGACCACCATAATAATTCAGCAATTCACACTAGGGCCAGAACCTGTCATTAAGAAGTCGTTAAGTTGCTGTGTTGCCCATGCTGTCCTTGAATTCACCGTGACCCTGCCTCAGCTTCCTGAGTGCTAGGATTGGGGTCATGCATGTGCCTTCACGCTACTTAATGTGCCCCCTGTGTGGGCTGCTTTTCACCCAGCAAGATGCTGTGGAGGCTGGGTGTTCTGCCTGTAGGTGGGACATCAAGGAGCGGGAAGGCTGGGTGTGGCTCAGCTCCTGTGAGACCTCATGAAGGTGAAGGTGGCCTGACCTCTGGGCTGTTTCTGTCAAGCGGGGATGTAAAGGTGTCTTACGGGAATGCCATGGGGATTCTGGGAAGGTCTCTCTCCCGAGGACTTTTTTTTTCCTGTATTGTTAGGGAATGGTCTACAGGGAGTTCAGGGTCTCACTACTAGATCAGACTCAGTGATTCTCCTGTTTGCAGCCTCCCAAGAGCTGGGATTACAGGCGCTCACCACGACACCTAGTCTCAATTGCTGTCTCAGCGTGCCCCAGGGGCGGGGCTGGCAAGGCCCAGGATTGAACCCCTGGCCCCTGCTCGTGCTTGCAGGTGCTTTAATCTGTTCTCTCCTGAAGGTTTGTTTTTTTTTTTTTTTTTTTTTTTTTTTTTTTGGGGGGAACCGGGGATTGAACTCAGGCCCTTGTGCTTCCCAGGCAAGTGCTTATGAAAGGAAGCTGTCCCTTGTCTGGCAGG